CATCTTAGGGTGTGGGCTGCTCTGGGGGGCCTCCTCTGCTGCTTGTGCTGACAGGCTGCACCCCACACCTTGGGATTCCAGAACATTGGACAAGGCGCTCAGTCCTACCTGGCTCCCCGCCCCTTGCACAGGTGAGGACAGATCCAGGTGGTACTGGCCTTTGGCCTTTGGGACCCAGATCTCAGCTTGGGACTTACTCCAGGGCTAACCCTGCTCCCGTTCCCCACTGCTCCTTCCTCCTTCTCCTCTCCCTGTCTCAAACCCCCTTTCCTCCCCAAGCAGCCCCTGCCCCACCCTGCCCCCAGCCCAGGGCAGCACCCCCAGCTCACCTTAGGCCTGGCCCGTTCTACCGGCTGCCCACCCTGTCCTAGGGGTCAGCAGTGAGAATCTTGGCCCGAGGCCAAGACCCACCGGGGATTTGGGGGAGCACCAGGCCTCTTGCAGAGATCTGGCCCCAGTGGCCTTGCAGGCTTTGTCCTGGGGGGACCGGGGTTGGAGCTGGGGCTGTGCCCCAGGCCTCTGGGCCTGGCTGGGCTGCCCCATTCTGCCTGCCCTCTCACAGCTCCAGCAGGGGGCGGGCAGGGGAAAGGCAAGGAGCGACAAGTGGGACTGGGTCCATTTGGTGTCCAGGAGCAACTTGGCAAGGGACTGGGACCGGGGGAGTGCTGGGCTTTGGGGAGGGGGCCTCCCTGCTTCCCAGACTCTCCTCCTGGGGGCTGTCTCCTGTGAAAGGGAGGGCTTGGGGGTGTGCCTGGGCCCTGACCCCTCCCCCACATTGCCCCGTGTGGAGCTTGGTGGGTGGGTGGGTGGGTGTGCGGTGGTGCAGCCACTGTCTCCCTCCTGGCAGAGTAACTCCCAGTGCCCAGAGAGGTTGATGCTGAGACTTCCTTGGGGCCGGAGGGCCTCCTGAGGCTTCTGGGAGGAGATGGACCAGCCGCAGCTACAGGTGTGTGCTGGCTGTGCCCTTGTCCCACCTCAGTGTGGCCTGGCTGCCTGGGCTTCAGCCCTTCTTGGTCATTGTCCCTATCTTGTCCCCCCCACCCCCACCCCCCATTGGCTTCTTGATGCTCCGGGCATTCCCAGGCACTGTCCTGCCTCTGAGCCCCCACACATGCTGTTCCCTCAGCCCTTCTCCCTCCCCTGGCGACTCTCATTCCTCCTCCTCTACTACCTTCACCTCCACCTGGGTCCAGCCTGCCTGGTCTCCCAGAGGGACCCGAGCCTTCCTCCGTGCCCCCCTCCCCGGTGCCCTCCTGCCCTCAGCCTTCCTCCGCATTGGCAGCCTCAGCAGGGGCGGGTTTCACCACCGGGTTTTGTGCCTGCCACCCCGGCCCAGCTTCTCCCAGGCTGGCCGCTGGGTCCTCTGCAGTGACGACCCTGCACCTGGCACCCAGGAAAAGCTCAATAAACTTTTGCAAAATACATCAATGAGTGCAGTGTGGACTTACTGAAAACTTGTTTCAGGAGAATTTCCAGATATTTCGTTCAGCCCATGTGCACACCAGCAGCAGCGAGCAAGGTAGGACGTGTTGGCAGCCAGGGAGTCCCCTCTGGGCCCACCTGTGTCCCTTCTGGATAAGCAGGTCCCCCCGTGGTGCCTGGCCCTCCCATGCCTGCGCTCACCCTTCTCACGGGCTTCAAGAATGATTTCTTTCCAAACGCCCTCCCACCTCTCCTGACTCCAGTGTGGCCAGACTGCACAGGTGGACACCTGCAGCGGGCGGGGGAGGTGCTCCGCGCTCAGCAGTCTGGTCACAGTCCCTCTCCAGCCCCAGCCGGGCACCCTCCAGGAGTGTGAGGCAGGAATGGGGCCGACAGTGGGGCTCCCAGTGGTTGGGCAGCCTGGGAGCCAGGCCAGAAGAGCTTGTTGGGGCCTCAGGGCCTGGATAGAGTGGAGTGTCTGGGCAGCATTCGGGGCCTGGGCTCTTGGCCAAGGGGAGGAGCAGGCCTAGGGGCGATGCCCTGGGAACCTGCTGTGTGACCCGGCCGAGTCCTGTCCCTTCCTCTGGCCTCGTCTGCACTGTGCTTCCCAGTGCCGTCCCTGTGCTGCCTCTAAACTCCAGGAGGTCCTAGGAAGTCCTCTAGGCCCTGTCCTGCCCCTGCCAGCTGCTGTGGGCCTGTGAGACCCCTACTTGAGGATGGAAGGCGCCTGGCCCCCTGGCCTCCTGGCCTCATTACTTGCTCCCAGCGCCATCGTTCACTGCCCCATTCCCGCCTTAGCTCTGAGGTCCTCACTACATGGGCCGCCCCCACTCATCAGACCCAGGATGGACTCTGACATGTTCCTGCCCTGAAGGCAGACACAGGAGTGCCCACAGGGCTCCCTGATGCCCAGGCAGGCCCCTCACCCAACCCCCTCCATTAGCTTCCTGAGGTGGGCCGATGCCTGCCCTAGGTCCCGCATGGGAAGCTGCCTGGGCTGCCTGGGCGTTGGGGTGCTGAGCCACGTGTGTGAAGGACAGACCCTGCTCTGAACCCCGAGGCTGGCTGCAGGGCCACCGTCAGGCCAGTCCGTCCCGTCCCTCTCTTACCCTCTCTGGAAAAAGATGGGGGACAACCAGCCAGAAGACAGGCACTCTGAGTCCCTTTGATTCTCTGAGCCTCAAATTCCTCAACCGAGAGGTGAACGTGGTGTCATGAACATATGTTCACTACGCCACGCAGGGCAATGCCAGGTGTGCACGTGGTGTGTCTATTTCTTTCTACCCAGTCTCCTTCCCCAGTGCCTTTGGGTCCCTGGAGGACACCATGGACCAGCAGGAGGTACCACAGTGAGAAGAAAAAGGGAAATCGAGGAAGGACCCACTTCCCTCTGGAGACACAGTGCAGCCGCTGTGTCCCCCATGGACCACAGACCCATGACAGATGTTGTCCATGTGGCGAAACATGATTGGTTGATTCCCAGTGTCCCAAAGATAAAAATGACGGTCCCGCTGAGCCTCATGCATGGCTGTGCGTGTGGCCGTGCCTTCCTCAGTTTCCATCTGAATCTCAGGATCATCAGGGGGGCAGGCCCCAGGCCGTGTGCGAGCTAAATGAGAGGAGGCTCGTGGCCAGCAGGGGAGCTCAGGTTGCAGCGGGAACCTCAAAGGGCTGACCTGGGAAGCGGTGACAAGATTGCTCCCTCATGAGGCTTCACTGCTGCCCTGGGCTGTTTTAGGGTGGAAGTGTCCTCATGAGGCTTCTGTCCTTTTGCCACGGACCCGTTCCCCAACCCTGGTCCATGCGAGGCTCCCACAGGGAGTCAGCCAGGTCTCCGGCCAGCGCGCTGGGAGGGTAGGCGTGCTCAAGGAGGATGCGCTCCAGCCTTCCTCGTGGCTCCTCCACAAAGGCCCCTGGTCTTCCACGGGACCTTCTGGAGCAGGTGGGGGACACGAGGGCCAGGGAAGGCGATGGCTCTGTGTGTCCCAGCAGGAGCTTGGCACCGCCTTCCCACTCACTCCATGGCGGCCAAGCTGTGTGATCTCGGGCAAGTTACACCAACTCTCTGTGCCTCCATCTGAGAAATGAGCACAGCAACCACCTGACAGGGAGGTTATTGTAAGAAAAAGTTCAGTCACGCACCCACCGCCCCCGGAGTAGAGTCCAGGGCACGGAAGTGCAGTGAACTAGTAGTGACGGCTGGCCTGAGCCCCCACCAAATGCCAGGCACTGTGCGCAAGTGTAATCGGCTCTCGGGCGCTTCAGGAGCTTGTGTCCAGGTGCCCACTCCTTGCCCACAAAAGGTCCTGCTAGATCTCCAAGCTTCAGGCTTCCTCGTTCCAGTGGCCCATCTCAGTGAAGCCTCGTGGTCCCCAGGCACCTCCCTGAGCCCAGTAATTGCGTTTGGTTCAGGTTTGCACATGGCAGAAACTCCATCCAAAGTAACTTTAACTAAGAAGGAATTTACTGGCCGTAGTCAGTGCAGAGTCCAGGATGAGCCATGCCATCAGGCACGGCTGTATCCAGGTGCTCAAAGGATGCTGCCAAGGCCTGCCTCTCCGGCCTCTGCCCAGCTTGGTTCTCAGGCGGCTCTCTCTCTCTGCACGTGGGCAAGGTGGCCCCAGGAGCCCTGGCTTTGGGGTCCTGGCCACCCAGAGAGGAGAGAGCACAATCACTCAAGGCAGAAACCTTGGGGAGGCCTATGGGGGATCGCTGCCTTGGGCAGATCTGGGTGTTGTGCCCATCTATCTCAGAGAGGGGTCCCGACTCACGTGAACTGTGCGGATCCTCCCAGATAGGGGCGGGGGAGCTGCTGGAGACACATACATGTCGAACTACCAAGGAGCGTGATAACAATAGCGGCTGCCTCTCTTGAGCCACATAGTTAACGGGGTACAGACATTTACTGTCCCCATTTCACAGATGAGAAACTGAGGCTCACAGAGCTGATGTCTGAGGACACAGAGCTGATGTCTGACTCCAAAACCCATACTCTCCAGTTAGCAGGTGTTCAGCCAGATCTGCGGGCGAAGAGGGCATGGGGAGGCCTGAAGGGGGTGTGATGACCTGGCTGCTCACTGGCCCAGTGGAGCCCCGGGGAGGAGAAGGTCTGTGGCGGAGGCTGCTGAGTTTATGGGGATACACCGAGGTGGAGGTGCCCAGGGGCCTCAGGAGATGATGTCCAGGTGGGCAGAGGTCCACGCCTCACATTGTAAATAGGCCGGTTTGCTTTGCTTTTGGGATTCACAGCGTCAGGGGAAAGGTGGCTGCTGACAAGCCGGAGGGGGAATGGCGGGAGGGGGAACCCACAGCACCCACCCCCATGTCGGTGCAGGACCAGCTCAAACCAGCCCCGCGGCAGCCCCCACAGCCTGGCCACAGGGTCAGAGCCTTGGTAGCGCCGTTCCGGGCAAAGGTTTCTCTACAAATGGCATTTCCAGGGGCCGCAGGCTGAACCGGGTGGGAATGCCAGTCAGCTGAGGCCATCGTCCTATAAGGACCAGGCCTTTCCATTGAGGGGACCTTTGACCTTTGGAATCTCACAGATTTGATGAACATCCTGTGGGCATGTTTCTGAACCTCTCTGGGCTGCAGTTGCTCATCTGTGAAGCTGGTACCCTCTGCTTAGGCTTAGGGGCTGGGAGATTGTGGGTGTGGCGTGCCTGGCACCAAAGGGTTCGAGGAGCAGCAGTGCGTGTATATGACCGCCTTTCCCCAGCCAGTGTCTGATGGATCTGATGTGGGGGAGGGGGCAGTCTGGCTCTGCAAGGGGAGAAATGTGTCCATATTCTTGGCATCGTGGGGTGTCACGGGCAGTGGGTGGGAGGTGGTGGCGATGGCCATTTGGCCAGAGTGGACTAAGAGAGTCCTTCCTCGTTCCTGCTGGTCCTGCCACCAAGAAGGCCCTCCCCCTTCCTCACTCTCAGCCCAGGAAGTCGATCTTCTTCAGGGCTTGGCACAACGCCACTCCTTGCATCCCCGAGATCCTCCTGTCAGCCGGGGTGCTCTGCCTCCCTGTGTCCCCCCCACCGACCGTGGCCCCCGACGGGGGATTCAGATTCCATCTGAATCTCAGGATCATCAGGGGGGCAGGCCCCAGGCCGTGTGAGAGCTAAATGAGCACCCTCTTCCCGTGTGACCCTGAACAAGCCCTTGGCCTTTTGAGCCTCAGAGGCTCGAGGGGTGTGCGGTGTGTCTCAGAGCAGGTGGTGGTACCTGGTGAGTGAGGAACCCGGCCCACCATCTATGGGCACAGTGAGAATAACCACACAACGACCAGTGCTTGTTTCTCTGTGCTGTGAGGTTCCGCTGCTCTGGGGTCTTGGCGGGCTCCCTGGCCTGCCTGGAGGTCGGGGGGCTGGTGTCAGCTGACTTAGGGTGGCCCCGGCTGAGATGGTGGCTCTGCTCTGCTCCACGCATCCCTGGTCCTCTGGCAGCTCGCCCGGGCCTGATCTCACGGGGGAGGGGAGGCATGGAAAGAAAGCCTGGTGCACAAACTCTTTGAAAGCCCTGCCCATTCTGTGTCTGCTCACATCCCATCCCATTGGCTCAGGGTTGTGGGTGAGCACCCACGTGGGTGGGTGTGGGGTTGAGGGTGCTGCAAAGCTGTGCAGACTTACCTGCTCAGGGTCTGGAGTCAGAACTGGAACCCAGGACTTCCCTGCCACATCCCTCCAACCTGCCCCTCCCTTCTCTCCTTTCTCCCTCACTCTCCGACCGCCCCCTGTGCCTAGGTTTGAGCTCCCCGGGTGGCACTGTGGATTAGAGGATGCTCACAGTGACGCCTCTGCCCTTTAAGGCAAAAGGCTCCTGTGACCATCATGGGCCCAGCTGTCACTCAGAGGAGGACAGTCTGGTGAAGGCAGCATGGAGTCTGCCCCGGGCACCTGCTGGCAGGTGGGCTCGGTAACTGCTGCCCGCAGCCAGGCAGGGCAGCAAATGAGCATCTTCTGAGGTTGAGGCTGGAGGTCCGGACATGTCCTGAGCATTCACTGTCCTGC